CTCATGTTGGGGTGGAAAGTAGTGCTTGAACTCTGAAGAATGGCTGGGAATGTTGTTGAACTGTGATATTTGAACATCTCTGGCAATACAGCTAAGAAATAAATGATAGTGCACGTTTCATTTTTTTTTTTGTGTGGGGGAGGGGGTCACCCTGTCTTGGTGGAATAGATACATTAAAAAAGCAGACTATCTAAATAATGTAATGAGTAAGGTATACACATCAAATTAGCACTGCTTAAATATTTAATAGCAGGGAAATACATTCAGAGGTGTACCATATTGTTTCTGCTTCAGTTATCATCTAGTTTTCAATATCACCAGTGCTTCCTACTTTCATGGAGTGGGAAAACATTTGTAACCAGATGGGAGAATACAGAATAATCTTCAAGTTATTATCAACTAAATCAAAGTTCCAAATTAAATGTGATACATATGGAAAATATAACTGTCTTTCCAAGAAATTTTCATATTGTACTTATCTGTAACTTAGAAGAGCAAGTAATATGGTGGAAAATGAACATTTAACCCTTTCAGGGTCCGTGCCATGGATCTATGGCTTTACGTTGAGGGTTCAAACTGTAGATCTACCCCATGAGCTCAGCTCACTCTGATAAGCTGTGAGCTGTAAATTTGGGCCTAGATATGAAAGAATGCATCTATGTGGTATGTGTGCACCACATAAAACAAATCCTGCAGCACACAGTGCATAATGAGAGAAAAAACTGAGACCGTAATTTTCAATTAAAACAGCGATTTTGCAGTGTTTTTTCGAATGTTTTTTAAAGTTGTATTTGTGATTTCGTGGTCTCATTTGATAGAATGGAAAATATATTACAGAAATAGAGATGATTTTGATTGGTTTTAGTACTGAAAATGGCTTGAAACTGAGCTCAAAGTAGCAGAAATGTTAAATTTTTGCCGATGTTCAAGAGTAAACAAATGACCTCACACTTCTAATACACGCCAGCTGGTGGGTCTAATATATGTTCACAAATGTGGTACTATGGAGGATAGATGGGCTAATGAGAGCATAGGCAATGGGGTCGAAGAGGTATGGGGTAGGTTTAAAAATGTAGTGTTAGAGTGTTCAGCAGAAGTTTGTGGTTACAGGAAAGTGGGTGCAGGAGGGAAGAGGAGCGATTGGTGGAATGATGATGTAAAGAGAGTAGTAAGGGAGAAAAAGTTAGCATATGAGAAGTTTTTACAAAGTAGAAGTGATGCAAGGAGGGAAGAGTATATGGAGAAAAAGAGAGAAGTTAAGAGAGTGGTGAAGCAATGTAAAAAGAGAGCAAATGAGAGAGTGGGTGAGATGTTATCAACAAATTTTGTTGAAAATAAGAAAAAGTTTTGGAGTGAGATTAACAAGTTAAGAAAGCCTAGAGAACAAATGGATTTGTCAGTTAAAAATAGGAGAGGAGAGTTATTAAATGGAGAGTTAGAGGTATTGGGAAGATGGAAGGAATATTTTGAGGAATTGTTAAATGTTGATGAAGATAGGGAAGCTGTGATTTCGTGTATAGGGCAAGGAGGAATAACATCTTGTAGGAGTGAGGAAGAGCCAGTTGTGAGTGTGGGGAAGTTCGTGAGGCAGTAGGTAAAATGAAAGGGGGTAAGGCAGCCGGGATTGATGGGATAAAGATAGAAATGTTAAAAGCAGGTGGGGATATAGTTTTGGAGTGGTTGGTGCAATTATTTAATAAATGTATGGAAGAGGGTAAGGTACCTAGGGATTGGCAGAGAGCATGCATAGTTCCTTTGTATAAAGGCAAAGGGGATAAAAGAGAGTGCAAAAATTATAGGGGGATAAGTCTGTTGAGTGTACCTGGTAAAGTGTATGGTAGAGTTATAATTGAAAGAATTAAGAGTAAGACGGAGAATAGGATAGCAGATGAACAAGGAGGCTTTAGGAAAGGTAGGGGGTGTGTGGACCAGGTGTTTACAGTGAAACATATAAGTGAACAGTATTTAGATAAGGCTAAAGAGGTCTTTGTGGCATTTATGGATTTGGAAAAAGGCGTATGACAGGGTGGATAGGGGGGCAATGTGGCAGATGTTGCAAGTGTATGGTGTAGGAGGTAGGTTACTGAAAGCAGTGAAGAGTTTTTACGAGGATAGTGAGGCTCAAGTTAGAGTATGTAGGAAAGAGGGAAATTTTTTTCCCAGTAAAAGTAGGCCTTAGACAAGGATGTGTGATGTCACCGTGGTTGTTTAATATATTTATAGATGGGGTTGTAAGAGAAGTAAATGCGAGGGTCTTGGCAAGAGGCGTGGAGTTAAAAGATAAAGAATCACACACAAAGTGGGAGTTGTCACAGCTGCTCTTTGCTGATGACACTGTGCTCTTGGGAGATTCTGAAGAGAAGTTGCAGAGATTGGTGGATGAATTTGGTAGGGTGTGCAAAAGAAGAAAATTAAGGTGAATACAGGAAAGAGTAAGGTTATGAGGATAACAAAAAGATTAGGTGATGAAAGATTGAATATCAGATTGGAGGGAGAGAGTATGGAGGAGGTGAACGTATTCAGATATTTGGGAGTGGACGTGTCAGCGGATGGGTCTATGAAAGATGAGGTGAATCATAGAATTGATGAGGGAAAAAGAGTGAGTGGTGCACTTAGGAGTCTGTGGAGACAAAGAACTTTGTCCTTGGAGGCAAAGAGGGGAATGTATGAGAGTATAGTTTTACCAACGCTCTTATATGGGTGTGAAGCGTGGGTGATGAATGTTGCAGCGAGGAGAAGGCTGGAGGCAGTGGAGATGTCATGTCTGAGGGCAATGTGTGGTGTGAATATAATGCAGAGAATTCGTAGTTTGGAAGTTAGGAGGAGGTGCGGGATTACCAAAACTGTTGTCCAGAGGGCTGAGGAAGGGTTGTTGAGGTGGTTCGGACATGTAGAGAGAATGGAGCGAAACAGAATGACTTCAAGAGTGTATCAGTCTGTAGTGGAAGGAAGGCGGGGTAGGGGTCGGCCTAGGAAGGGTTGGAGGGAGGGGGTAAAGGAGGTTTTGTGTGCGAGGGGCTTGGACTTCCAGCAGGCATGCGTGAGCGTGTTTTGATAGGAGTGAATGGAGACAAATGGTTTTTAATACTTGACGTGCTGTTGGAGTGTGAGCAAAGTAACATTTATGAAGGGATTCAGGGAAACCGGCAGGCCGGACTTGAGTCCTGGAGATGGGAAGTACAGTGCCTGCACTCTGAAGGAGGGGTGTTAATGTTGCAGTTTAAAAACTGTAGTGTAAAGCACCCTTCTGGCAAGACAGTGATGGAGTGAATGATGGTGAAAGTTTTTCTTTTTCGGGCCACCCTGCCTTGGTGGGAATCGGCCGGTGTGATAATAAAAAAAAAATAAAAAAATGTGGTAATATTATTTATACAATTATTACAATATTGCATAACAGTAAATCTTCTATTTTTTGGTTTGAATAAAAATTTATTATGTGAATAAAAAATCAAAATGGAATTCATTTGTAAAGCCTGAAAACGTAACTAATGAACAGAGGAACTGTTAGTTTAGTGCCAGGAATGCCTGCATTGTTTATTCTGGACCCTATTTTGAAATTGAAATATTTTGAACTTTGTATTAAATGGGCCAAATTACTAATTTCCAATCACTATTTTGTATTTGAAACAACTGACTTGGCAATTTCTTGTGCTCAATCGATAAAATTGAAGTAATACTAGTGAAATAGCTAAGAATTTGGTCGACTGGATTAATGTAATTGGCCTAAAATTGGAGTCAAAGTTGGCAAAATCGCCAATGTGTAAACATCGCTGACATATCAAAATTCACGAGAGCATAATTTCGTCAATTTTCCATCAAATTTCGTACTTTTTGTTTTATTACCTTTAGAAAAAGATTCTTTACCATTTCATAAGAAAAAATTACAAAATTATTTTTTGAAAATTCTTGGACCCTGGTGCACACCTTGAAATTTGGCCTCTGGACCCTGAAAAGGTTAATCAATTACAGTTAAATCTTTCTGAATATTTCAATACATATGATTTTCAAAGAAGCTTTTATCTAACCCTTCATATATTTTTCTGGACTCTTGATTTATCAGCCAAACACACTACAAAATAACTAATGGACTTCTTTCTTTCTTTCAACACACCGGCCGTTTCCCACTGAGGCGGGGTGGCCGAAAAGGAAAAACGAAAGTTTCTCCTTTTACATTTAGTAATATATACAGGAGAAGGGTTTACTAGCCCCTTGCTCCCGGCATTTTAGTTGCCTCTTACAACACGCATGGCTTACGGAGGAAGAATTCTGTTCCACTTCCCCATGGAGGTAAGAGGAAATAAACAAGAACTAGAAAGAAAATAGAAGAAAACCCAAAGGGGTGTGTATATATATGCTTGTACATGTATGTGTAGTGTGACCTAAGTGTAAGTAGAAGTAGCAAGATGTACCTGAAATCTTGCATGTGTATGAGACAAAAAAAAAAAAGACACCAGCAATCCTACCATCATGTAAAACAATTACAGGCTTCAGTTTTACACTCACTTGGCAGGACGGTAGTACCTCTCTGGGCGGTTGCTGTCTACCAACCTACTACCTAGGAACTAATGGACTTATCATAGATTAAACAAGTCAACATCCACTTGCTAGACAAAACTCCAGATGACATCAACTTTAACTGTCTATACGTTTAAACATAAAACTAGTGATCAGTATGCCAGCTGCAGAATACCTTACCAAGAATCTTTATTATAAAATTGATATTTGCTTTGTTTTTTAACACATCAGGCTGCTTCCATAAAGACAGGATAACTAAATACGAGGAAAAATACTTTCACCATCACTCACACACTCCCTAGCTGTCCTTCCAGAAGAACACACACATCATAATTACAGTGGCTTATCTTTAACAAACAAATACGTGTACTATCATGCAATAAATGTCTCTAAATATTCCTATTTCACAAATGGTGTTAGAATTTTAATAAAAAAAAAAAAAAATCTTCATTTCTTGATGTGGTTTAGGAAAATGCTTCACTTACCGGGGGCATTAAATGGGGCAGCACCAAATGGATCATCCTCGGTCGACATTACTAAGCTCTCTCGACTTTTCACGTTTGATATACCTGAAGCAGAGATAATTCTCTGTAAATCAGTGTCCCCTGAAAGACCTCAGGAAATATGTTATACATAAATACATAAACACTAAGTGCTGAGATTCCATTATTTTTTAAAGTATTAGACTTCAGTGATGAAAGTAGGTCACTGACGGAAATTATACAGTAGAAAGACGGCAAAAAAACTGCCACAAGCTGATTGTCTAATACTGAAATACGTATCTAGTTTACTCACACAATATAATGAAGCTCTACTGCTGCATATCTGTATATGTTGTAGATTTTTATATATTAATTTTATTTACTATATCATCCACCAACGTTGGATGACCCAAAGAAGAACACATATTCACCATTGTTCATTCAAAAGATGTTTTGTCAGAAGTGCATATACATCAAATTCAATTAACCTTCTGACTGCATTGTATCTGTTTCAATTAGGAGAACTGAATTTGTTATACAATAAGAACATTAATCTTCCTTTTTTTTTTTACAATAACATGTGCTTCTTGTAAAGGCAACCATAGAATTAGATGTGAGAAAGTCTGTAGTTATATTTTAGCTTAATACTGTATATACACGTGGCTCCGAGATCAAAATTTATTGTAAAACACTGGCCGTCTCCCACCCAGGTAGAGTGACCCTAAAAAGAGGAAATGCGTCCCTCATCATCATCTTCTCAATGGCTGTCTTGCCAGAAATATCCTGGCATCCCAGTTCAGATGACACTCCAAACTGCAACCTCTTTATCCCTCCTTTAGAGAGATGATGTTGCACGACTCCAAGTCCAGTTAACTGGTTTCCTTGAATCCCTTCATAAATGATACCTTGCTCACACCCCAATACAACTTGCCTACACTCAGTCCTTTCTAGTGTACTCACACAAGCCTGTTGGATGCTCAATTCCCTAGCACTCAAGACCTCATTTACCCCCTTCCTTCCCAACATTTTTACAATAACCCGTATATCTCCTCTCCACCTAATGTTTATACCACCCTAGTCATCTTATTTTGCTTCATCCTCTCAATGTCCAACCACTCAAAAATCCCTCCTCAGCCCCACATCATCTAGTCTCCAATCTCCAAATTTTCTGCATAATACTCATGCCACAAAATATACAAATTGTGAAGCAGATAATCTAGGCAAAGAACTCTTTGTAAGCCAGTATGTATAGAAGATGCTTGGGAACAATTCACAGTGTATACTATTAAAGGAGACAAAGGCAATAAATTAATTACAAGGAATTTATCTAAAGCCATAATAATGAAGTAATGAAATAAATAATTAGAAAACTCTCTTATACCACAAATCTAGTGTGTAAGGCAACAGCAATTGCTCTAGTAATCTGAAGAATTAAAACAATGACTGGTTAACTTGCAACAGATGTATATTCAGTATTTAACCAGTCAGCAAATAAAGAATAGGTGTTAATGGTACCCTTATATAAAGCAAAAAATAAGTCATAATTAAAAAACTTTTCCATAGTTAATTTGCTAACATAGGGTTAGAGTTAGACAGATAAGGTACTGTAAGTGAACTGCTCATAATTCCTCTCTTCAAACACCATTACAGATCATGAAGTGTGCTTACTACTCTGAGACCCTCTTCGAATCTTGTCAAACTCTGCCCCGAAGATATGGTCCTCGGACATTTGACAGAAGGGAGTTGTATCGTTAAAAGGATTCCATGCCCGAATTTCAGCAGTGGCCAAGTTGACTTCTGAACTGACCAGACCCTCCTGGAATATAAACACTACTTACAACTTTGTTACGGTCATTTTAATCTTTATATTATTGTGTTTACTTCTCACAACAGAGAGACATTCAGGAAATCAATGAAATTAATCAAATGAGAGCTGTGACTCACAACTGGCTCCAATGTCTCACACTTTCATGTATTTTGCCTAACATTCACAAAGCATACATTAAAAAAGCAATTAATGATATTGCTAGGCCTAGGATATGAAATGAGCTAAGATAGAAAGTAAATGCTGGAAATTTTTTCCTTAATTCTGTAGAATCCTTAAATAAAAAACAAAGACCTAATTATAGTGAAGCAAACAAGTATTGAGAGTGGAGTAACCAGACCCTCAGCTGTAAACAGTTAAAAATAATTACATTCATTGAGGAATGCAAGGCTCTGAAAGCCTTGCCTTAGAGGTTTTAACTTGATAAGTTCCCTACCTGAGATCCTTCTTCAGACTGTATGATGCTTGTTGGTCCACTCTCTCTCTCTATACACCTGACTGAAGCCTCAAAAGGAGCAAGGAACTGTGTTGTCTCATTAGCAAATGTCCTGCAAGAATATTATGTTCAATGATATCAAGAACATTACTTACACCCACATGATACTTTATGTACATATGTAAGGGAAAGAGAAGACAAGGAAGAGAAACATAAGCCTCTCTGGTGTTTGTGAGAGGTAGCAGTATTATTATTTTATTATTATCACACTGGCCGATTCCCACCAAGGCAGGGTGGCCCGAAAAAGAAAAACTTTCACCATCATTCACTCCATCACTGTCTTGCCAGAAGGGTGCTTTACACTACAGTTTTTAAACTGCAACATTAACACCCTTCCTTCAGAGTGCAGGCACTGTACTTCCCATCTCCAGGACTCAAGTCCGGCATGCCAGTTTCCCTGAACCCCTTCATAAATGTTACTTTGCTCACACTCCAACAGCACGTCAAGTATTAAAAACCATTCATCTCCATTCACTCCTATCAAACACGCTCACATACGCCTGCTGGAAGTCCAAGCCCCTCGCACACAAAACCTCCTTTACCCCTCCCTCCAACCCTTTCCTAGGGCCGCCCCCTACCCCGCGTTCCTTCCACTACAGACTGATACACTCTTGAAGTCATTCTGTTTCACTCCATTCTCTTTACATGTACGAAAGACCTCAACAACCCTTCCTCAGCCCTCTGGACAACAGTTTTGGTAATCCCGCACCTCCTCCTAACTTCCAAACTACGAATCTCTGCATTATATTCACACCACACATTGCCCTCAGACAGGGACATCTCCACTGCCTCCAGCCTTCCTCTCCCCTGCAACATTCATCACCCAGCTTCACCCCCATATAAGAGCGTTGGTTAAACTATACTCTCATACATTCCCCTCTTTCCCTCCAAGGACAAAGTTCTTTGTCTCCACGGACTCCAAAGTGCACACTCCCCCTTTTTTCCCTCATAAATTCTATGATTCCCTCATCCTTCATAGACCCATCCGCGGGACACGTCCACTCCCAAATATCTGATACATTTCCCCTCCTCCATACTCTTCCCTCCATTGATATAAATCTTTCATCACCTAATCTTTTGTTATCCTCATAACCTTACTCTTTCCTGTATTCATTTTAATTTTCTTCTTTTGCACACCCTACCAAATTCATCCACCAATCTCTGCAACTTCTCTTCGAATCTCCCAAGAGCACAGTGTCATCAGCAAAGAGCAACTGTGACAACTCCCACTTTATGTGTGATTCTTTATCTTTTAACTCCACGCCTCTTGCAAAGACCCTCGCATTTAACTTCTCTTACAACCCCATCTATAAATATATTAAACAACCACGGTGACATCACACATCCTTGTCTAAGGCCTACTTTTACTGGGAAATAATTTCCCTCTTTCCTACATACTCTAACTTGAGCCTCACTACCCTCGTAAAAACTCTTCACTGCTTTCAGTAACCTACCTCCTACACCATACACACTGCAACATCTGCCACATTGCCCCCCTATCCCCCCTGTCATATGCCTTTTCAAATCCATAAATGCCAAAGACCTCTTTAGCCTTATCTAAATACTGTTCACTTATATGTTTCACTGAAAAACACCTGGTCCACACCCCCCCTACCTTTCTAAAGCCTCCTTGTTCATCTACTATCCTATTCCCCGTCTTACTCTTAATTCTTTCAATAATAACTCTACCATACACTTTACAGGTATACTCAACGGGACTTATCCCCCTATAATTTTTGCACTCTCTTTTGTCCCCTTTGCCTTTATACAAAGGAACTATGCATGCTCTCTCCCAATCCTAGGTACCTTACCCTCTTCCATACATTTATTAAAAAATTGCACCAACCACTCCAAAACTATATCCCCACCTGTTTTTAACATTTCTATTTTTATCCCATCAATCCCGGCTGCCTTACCCCTTTCATTTTACCTACTGCCTCACGAACTTCCCCCACACTCACAACTGGCTCTTCTTCACTCCTACAAGATGTTATTCCTCCTTGCCCTAACACGAAATCACAGCTTCCCTATCTTCATCAACATTTAACAATTCCTCAAAATATTCCTCATCTTCCCAATACCTCTAACTCTCTATTTAATAACTCTCCTCTCCTATTTTTAAACTGACAAATTCCATTTGTTTCTCTAGCTTCTTAACTTGTTTAAACTCACTCCAAACTTTTTTTATTTTCAACAAAATTTGTGATAACATCTCACCCACTCTCTCATTTGCCCCTTTTTTTAAAATTGCTTACCACTCTCTTACTCTCTCTTTTTTTCTCCTTTACTCATATTTCCTTGGTTACAGGAAAATGGGTTCGAGGGAGAGGACGATTGGTGGTGATTTTAAAGAGAGTTGTTTATAAGATGAATTTTCAGAGAACGACATGTTGATAAATTAGCACTGTGAACCTTGGGTATCTTTATTGGAAACTTTCGCCACACGTGGTTCATCAAATTTCCCAAAGTAGGAGAACTTGAAGAGCAGGAGGAGGTAAACGTCCTCAACTTGAGTCGATGTGTTCAGTCCTCTATCAAGATTGATGGACTGAACCCTCGACTCAAGGTTGTGGGACTGATTACCTCTTCTCCCTTTGCTCTTTAAGTTTTCTCCTACGTATGGACATGAAAGCCACTGTGTGGCAAACTTTCCTCAATTTAAAATACCCAAGATTTTAATTGGCTATTTAAACAAAGAGGGGTAGTAAGGTAGAAAAAGTTTGATTGAGAAGTTTTACAAGAAAAAGTGAGCAGTATTATATTAAAATTAATTATCATGGGCAAGTATTACCAATATTGATGGCACAAACCCCTTTGGAATAGGAAAGTATTTGGTTGATCTAAGGGGAGGGTAGCTTTCCCAATTCCTTGCATAAAAGGTCTGAAAAACATCAAAGGCATCCTCTTTAAGGAGTAGTTTGATTTACATTTAGCCATTTATTAAATCAGTCTTTTCACTGTTGCTAAAACTTTTCAACAGGTGACTCTTCATGAGGTTTAAATAAGTGATTCTCGATGTATTGTTAGTGAATCAGTGGTTCCTAAAATTTATTTTGTATTCAAAATGTTTCATGCCTTATCTGATTCAAACTTTTCATTGCCTTTATTTGTATTTATATTGTTGGTGTGATATGTTATAATTGGTTAATTTTTTTATTGACAACACACAACCAAACCAACATGACCCAACTTAAAAAACCTCAATTGGAAAGTTCTGAATTAGAATATGGGAAGATCATATGAACCCACTGATGAATTTCTCCCCATCAGTGATATACTGACTGTTTATAAACAATCAGAATTCTGAGCATTTCTTAAGACGATGGGTTGTAACATTAACCCTTAAACTGTCCAAACAGATTTACATTCACGTCCGTAGTGCTCCAAAAGTGGATCTATGGTTTTTTACATATTTTCAAATATAACAAAAAATAAAACATAGATCAAAGTTTTTTATACGTTTTCAAATGTAAAAAAAAAAAATCTATGTTTTTTACATACTTTCAATTGTCGAAAAAACATAGATCTATGTTTGGACAGTTTAACCCCTTGATTGTCGCAACCCCCAATCCTGAGGTGTCTCCTGGTGTCGCAAAATTTAAAAAAAAAAAAAATAATTTTTTTTCTTATGAAATGATAGAGAATCTTTTCCCGATTGTAATGGCACCAAAAAACACGAAATTTGATGGAAAACTGATGGAATTACGCTCCTGCGAAGTTAGCGATCTTGCCGATATTTACAAATCGGCGATTTCTCCCACTTTGAGCCCTATTTTCGGCTAATTCCATTGTTCCAGTCGACCAAACTCATAGCTATTTCTTTAGAACTCCGTTTTTTTCTATCAATTGAGTACAAGACACTGCCCATTTACCAATTTCAACTACCAAATAACGTGGTCAGAAATTTGCAATTTGGCCAATTTCACGAAAATTAAAAAATATGACAATTTCAAAATAAGGTCCAGAATGAACAATGCAGACATTCCTGGCACTAAAATAACATTTTCTTTGTTTATCAATCATGTCTCCAGGCCTCTCTGATATTACTCTTGCTTTCTATTTTGAATTTTTATTCAAAAAAAAAAAAAAATAGAAGATTTACTATTATGCAGACTACTCCAATAACATAAGAACATAAGAAAGGAGGAACACTGCAGGAGGCCTGTTGGCCCATACTAGGCAGGTCCTTTACAATTCATCCCACTAACAAAACATTTGCCCAACCCAATTTTCAATGCCACTCAAGAAATAAGCTCTGATGTGAAAGTCCCACTCAAATCCAACCCCTCCCACTCATGTACTTATCCAACCTAAATTTGAAACTACCCGAAGTCCCAGCCTCAATAACCCAACTAGGTAGACTGTTCCACTCATCTACTACCCTATTTCCAAACCAATACTTTCCTATGTCCTTTCTAAATCTAAACTTATCTAATTTAAATCCATTACTGCGGGTTCTCTCTTGGAGAGACATCCTCAAGACCTTATTAATATCCCCTTTATTAATACCTATCTTCCACTTATACACTTCGATCAGGTTTTCTAACAAATTTATGTCCATTCTGTAATATGGAGACCAGAACTGAGCTGCATAATCTAGGTGAGGCCTTACTAATGATGTATAAAGCTGCAGTATGACCTCTGGACTTCTGTTGCTTACACTTCTTGATATAAATCCCAGTAATCTATTTGCTTTATTACGTACGCTTAGGCATTGCTGTCTATTAGAATGGCTAGTTGGACATTTATTGGACAATGATGTCATTTGTTTAATTTTGAACATCGGCAAAAATCAAACATTTCCCCTACTTTGAGCTCCATTTCCAGGTTCTTTTTATAGTAAAATCAATCAAAATCATCTCTTTTTCTATAATATGATTTCCATTCTATCAAATGAGACCAAGAAAACTAGAATACAACAATAAATACTATACGAAAATAGACCACACAGCCGGCATTTTAATTAAAAAAACGGTCGGAGTTTTTTTCTCTCATTATGCACTGCGTGCTCCAGGATTTTTTTTATGTGGTGCACACTGACCATACAGACCCATTCTCTCACATGTAGGCCTACCGGCTTTCTCCTTCTTGATTTGAAGCCGTTAGAATTTATGAGTATATATACGTCAAACACGGTACCTCGTAAGACGTATATATACGGCCGCTACAGTCAAAGGGTTAAGGGTTAATACTATTGCATAATTTTTGCTATACACATAAATGTTAAATCAATACGAACTCCAACATCTACCTACTTGTTGAAAGCTGAAGTATCGGAAACATTCCGTCTATGTACCCGTGGATGTTGAGGAAGCGTTGGTGAGACTTGTGCAGGAAGATGTTGTTGATGATGGTGACCAAGGCTGGCAGTGTCACTCTCGTACTTCATTAGCCCACCTGCAGCACCCATTCCCCCAGGACCCAAGCCAGCAGTCCCTTGCAGTGTCCCGACACCTCCCCCAATAGACCCCTGGCTTAGCGACAGGCTTTGTGGTCCACTGCAGATGTTGCCTACAGGGGGCAAGAATAAGCCCTCAACACTGCCGCTCATGGAGTGGGTTCCACACGTTGCTGACTCTCCTTCACCTTCCCGAAAAGGATCTCGATAGCCTGGAGGTAATATTTTCTTTGAGTGGCTTTAATAACTCTAGAATCCTAAAGTCTTAACATTTCACGATTGGCAGTGTTCGTTAGGCCACAAGTCACATCAAAAAAGCCCACCAAACCATAATAAAGTAAATATCGATTAATTTATTTTGAATAAGAAGTTTTACCTATCAAATACAGATGAAGTGAATGCACTATGTTTCAGTCTGGTTAAATACATTGAATACCTTACTATATGCTAAAGTTGGGTTAGATATGCAGCAAATACAATATATACCAGCTACAATAGATGCACAATGAATGCTTTAGCTCCAGATGGGTTAAACATGCAACAGATAACTAATCTTTTAGCCAGGTTAAACATGCAATGATAACTATCTCTTAGTTAGGTTAAATATGCACTGAATAAGAATCTTTATGCAAGTTGTAAAAACATGCAGTGAATAACTATTTTTCAGCAAGTTTAAGGAAATGCAGTGAAGAACAGTATCTCACAACCAAGTTAACTAAACCAACAGTGAATAACACTATCATTCAGTGTCTACAATGTGTTGCAGGTATAACAAATGAATGATAAATGCAGTGTTCCAGCTCAGTTACATTGAGAAACATTGCCATAAAAATGGATAATACAGTCTGAAATACATTCTGCAAATACAGCTACTCTAATATATGGAAAGCTTATTTGATCTTTCCTAAGGTACACTAATATTACAATGTCTCTTGTTAGGTCTATAAATATTTAGGAACCAGGAGCATTAAGTTAAATTATTTTTTGTACAACAGGTCACACTGATCCAGAGGTATTTACAAGTCAACGCATCCAGCTGCCATCCACCGACTCACTGTCAAGCAGTATAAACGCTACAACACAGAATGCTTAATGAGCATCAACAATTACACCTTATTAACAGTGTAGCATTTAAATCAACGTAACAGTCCACTTTCTGTTTAAGATGTGCAGAGAGAGTGTGAGAGAGAGAGAGAGTGTGTGAGAGTGAGAGAGTGTGAGAGTGTGAGAGTGTGTGAGAGAGAGAGAGAGAGAGAGAGAGAGAGAGAGAGAGAGAGAGAGAGAGAGAGAGAGAGAGAGAGAGAGAGAGAGAGAGAGAGAGAGAGAGAGAGAGAAGAGTGTGAGAGTGTGAGAGTGTGTGAGTGTGTGTGTGAGTGTGTGTGAGTGTGTGTGAGTGTGTGTGAGTGTGTGTGAGTGTGTGTGAGTGTGTGTGAGTGTGAGTGTGAGTGTGTGTGAGTGTGTGTGTGTGTGTGTGTGTGTGTGTGTGTGTGTGTGTGTGTGTGTGTGTGTGTGTGTGTGTGTGTGTGTGTGTGTGTGTGTGTGTGTGTGTTTTTGTTTCTGAACTGAGAAAACTAAGAATTACTAAATTTATGAAAGAAGCCAAATCCATGAAAGTTCATTGCACAGTAAACAGCACAGGTGAAAGAGATCGTAGAGGGCAGGAAGGGGGAGGTGGTGAGGGGTCAGGAAGGGGGAGGTGGTGAGGGGTCAGGAAGGGGGAGGTGGTGGTGGTGAGGGATATAAAGAATGGGGAAGAGTATTACAGAAGTATCCTCAAGTCAATAACTGAAGCATAAACAAGTACTAGTTGAGCAGATATTCGAAAATACAATAAACTCTCGATGTAACAGACTTTTAAAATTTGGAGCAAAATCCACTGGGCTAACTGTACATCTAATTCCTTTATTTTCAATGTTTATTGTAGCAAGTCTGTACACTGCATGTACAGTACTATATTAGGTATGTACAATATAGTGCATATTACTGCTTTTTTTAACATTATTGAATTAACAGACACTCAGACAATTGCCCCTTTCCCTTTAGTCCATTATTTCAAGGGTTTACTGAATGTTTCCCAAAGGTATCTGAAATAGCAGGAGAGAGAGAGTGCAGAGAAGAGAGAGTGTTGCAACAACTTGTGGTGTTTCCCTGGCTTGTGTATTGTGCACTCATGTCCTCACCCTTCTTAACACTTCTTTCTTTACTGTAGGGTGTCATTGTCTTCTGCTTTTCCTGTAATGTTTAATCCACTAGAGGACTTCCCTCTCACCGTCTGCTCTTCTGTCTTATAGATTAATCTCTAAGAGCCACAACAAATGTTTCCCTGCAGTCTAGGAATGAATCTTATGCCTTTGATATCCTCTCCAAATGATACATATTCCACATGTTCACATTAATTAAATTTTCTTAATTTTGATAAACTTTAGTGTAATTCTAAGTAAAGCCTTTATCAGTGTGCTGAATTATTCATAAAGAACTTGTTTTGTTGTTGTAATACCACAGCACTGCCACATAGAACTCTTATCTTATTAAGAGATTGGGTTATCATCTTTATCTTATTTGCTGGGAAAAGACTGGATTACCTCAAGATTCTTTCTTCCCTCAACCCCCCCTCCTCCCACCAAAGTACTATAGTTATGAAAATATTTAGACATGTTAGGTAAACTGAGTTACTTTATTTAAAAGAATTTAATCGAGGTTAAGTTAGGCGGCTATGCTAATTTCTATAAAAAAAAATTGAATAACTATTTTCCTTTAGGATGAAGAAAATTAAAATTCAAGTGGCCAGAATTATTTTAATGCCACAGATCACCACTCAGTGGTTTATCCCCCTCAGAGCCACATGACCCATAGATGTTTTGTTTGTAGAGGCACTGCACCTGCCCTGCTACCCACACTGCCAGTTACACACACTGCCAATTACCTGCACCTGCCCTGCTACCCACACTGCCAGTTATGCACACTGCCAATTACCTGCACCTGCCCTGCTACCCACACTGCCAATTACCTGCACCTGCCCTGCCACCCACACTGCCAATTACCTGCACCTGCCCTGCTACCCACACTGCCAGTTACCTGCACCTACCCTGCTACCCACACTGCCAGTTACCTACACCTGTCCTGCTACCCACACTGCCAGTTGCCTGCACCTGCTCTGCTACCCACACTGCCAGCTGCCTGCACCTGCCCTGCCATCCACACTGCCAGTTTCCTGTACCTGCCCTGCAACCTACACTGCCAGTTGCCCACACCTGCCCTGCTGCCCACACTGCTAGTTGCCTGCTATAAGAGCCACCTGTGGTAGCAACTGTGTATCAAACAATTCTGCATCTTTTCATGGCTCCATCTCACCTCTGGATATTAACCATGGCACCAAAGAAGTGCCAGGAGTTGAGGAATATATTAGAGAGTTCAAGCATTTTGTAATGCATCTCTTGTGTCAAGACAACAACTAAACATTAAGCTCTGAAAGTACCAAAGAAAATGAGGCTTCAGATAAGTTCGGAAGCAGTGCACATGTGATGGAGATGGTGCCCTTTTTTGCTAAGATTGAATCTTCCATTTGTATAATTAGAAATGAGAGGAAAATAAGAGCTTGTGCAATGACTAGTGAAGATTTGATGTGCTTTAAATAATGAGACAGAGGTTAATACAGTGGACCCCCGCATAACGATTACCTCCGAATGCGACCAATTGTGTAAGTGTATTTATGTAAGTGCATTTGTACGTGTATGTTTGGGGGTCTGAAATGGACTAATCTACTTCACAATATTTCTTATGGGAACAAATTCGGTCAGTACTGGCACCTGAACATACTTCTGGAGTGAAAAAATATCGTTAACCGGGGGTCCACTGTATAGGTAAATAGGAAAGGTTACTGAATGTATGGTATGGAAAAAATAAGGTGAGAGGTCCTGCCTAGTGCTCACATTATACAACATGAAGTTCTTTATTATTACTATCAAACTGTGAGAAGAGGGCCTTTACAACAGAATATTCTTACTAGTGGATGGCTTTTATAATGTTTAGTGGTGACAGTGAATTAGGTGGTCGTGTTGCTGTGGGACATTTCCCTAATTACTTTGTACAAGTGATTTCCGAGAATGAATAGTCTCAAGGAAGTGTTCAATGCTGACGAGACAGGGCTATTTTCTGCAGTACATAAGCCCTATCTCCATGATTAATCTGCACTTTTATCACAAGTGATGGACTGAATACATTGATGCCAGGCTGAGGGACTGGTTACATCAAATGCCTCATATTCCACCACTTCTCTACACTGGACTGAAGAAGCCACTGGCAGGTGAAACATTTTCAGATGCCGAAATGTTGCACAATTTCTTATTTATCAACAACAATTAAACACCGAGAACACTCCTCCCATATTACTACAGCCGTCCACCTCAGCCCTGTAAGGCCACACCAATTCTCTCCACAAACGTCCATATCAATTAGCAATGCATCGGCGCACCTCTGGCAAGACAGAGGTGAACCAATACATTGCTTATTGATGGTGAAAGTGCTTCTTCTTTTTGGGTCACCCTGCCTCAGTGAGAGATGCGTGGTGTGTAAAAAAAAAAAACTAGAATGCAAGATAATTTTTTTTTTTACATTAGTATTAGGGAATTAAAATTTGGGGTCCATATTTAGAGGCCTATGGAATGCAACACTACTGAACCCATGTTCTTCAGTTCAGCTATACAGTCTTCAGGCAGTTTCATTCTTTGCTTTCTCTCTTCAACCTTATAAACTGGAAGAAAATACTGTATTACAGAAATAAAAGTTTACCTTCCTGTATTTCTTAATTATTGCCAGTGTAGTCTTCAATTAGGCTTAAGCTTGCCTGAAATATTCTGTGTAACCACTGACTTTCTGCTTGTACAACCAAATGTCCCCATATCTCTACAAACATTGTATCATGTGGAGACAAATCTTCTGACTTGAGTAGTTATTACTTTAGCGCTTCCTTACCAATTTAAGAGGCCTTGCCTGAAACCCAGCCATGTAGGTGATGTTATCAATTAATAAATAATGTTCCTGATGTATCTCAATATTAAAGCATGTCTTATTTTTTTCTAATAAAATGTCAGAAGAAAATAATAAAGAAAAGAGTACTGCAGCTATTTAAAGTTTGGGCATCACTTTACAAGTGTCTAAGACATAAATGATTTCCTTATTTTGTTGCAAAGCTGGCTGCTGTGTGGTGGCCAAG